GAGTGTCCGCTGAGAGCGTGAGAAAATATAGGGTTGCGACGGAGGTCCGCACAGATTTTCTAGATCGGCGCTGGCCCCCCTTTCCCTGGCGCGCGGAGCGCGCCAGGGGCGGCGCCGGGCGCGACGCTGGAAGGGCTCAACGCCGACCGAGTAAATCCGCGCGGGCATCCGATAGCGTTGCAGATCAGGGTGAGGGGTCGCGTTTCATTCAAGGACAGTGTAAGACCTTTTAGACAGGGGGTCTCACTGGCCGAAGGTGTGTCTATAGGGCTCTTAGCACGAACGAGAGCAGGTGAATTGGGGAGAAGGGCGTAGGGGTCGGAGTCATGTGAGGAGGGTTGAGGGATTGTCGAGGGGGATCGAGGCAGATGTTGCGAAGGTGCCCAAAGGGCAGCGACGAAAGAAGGGGGGCGGACAGGGGATGTGGAGCGGGAGTGTGAGTCGGACGGGCGCCGGCGGACGTGGTTAGACGAGGCGAGGCGGAAAGGGGGTTGAGGCGAGCTACGCGCGCTCGCGCCTCATTTGGCATTTTACCCCATCCCAACCCACCTTTGTTTCTCTACCTGCGGACTCGCGTCGTAACCGACCTGCAATTCCACCCGAAAGACCGCGTCGTGTCAACCGGCTGTTGCGTTCACGTGCTGTTCCCCGTCCATGTGGGCACCCCTCGCGCGCTTCGTGGCCCCACAAGGGGTTTCACGAAAGCCTCAGTGGCACGGTCTACATGCGCTTCTCCGCCGATTTGGGCACCTCCATTACATACATCGCGTCCCAATTGGGAGCTCCACCGGAGGCCCACACGGCAGGGTTCGCGCCCGCTCCCCCCGCCCACTTCGGCACACCCCTCACACGGTTCGCGGCCCCACAGGGAACTCCGCGTAAGACCCTGGTGGCGACGTTCGCATGCGTCTCCGCCGCCCAGTATTTTGGCTCATAGCTCCATAAGGAGCTCCGCCCGAGGCTTCATTGGAACCGTTCGCGTGCGTCTCCCCAACCATTACGGCGCACCCCTCACATGGTTCGTGGCCCCATGAAGTGCTCCACCGAACGCTCCGAATTGCGACGTTTGCATGCGTCTCCCCCAGCCATTTCGGCGCACTTGTCTTGTCAACGCGTCTCGCAGCCCCCGTGCGCATGTCCAGTGCCCCATACTTCCCGCGGCGCGCTGCCTACGAGGAGATGGTCATGTGATGCGTGATGTCGCAGCTGCATATGGCGGGGTCTTTCGCCAGGCGTGTTTTTGTGTGTTTTTTATATAAAAATGAGAACCAGAAAGCGCATGTTGCAACTGCTTGGCGGCAGGGGCAATCATGACAACACGATGCGATCCGTTTTTTGTTGTTTTAAACCAATGCGCGGGCGCAGCACGCGCCATGCGAAACAAACGCCAGCCGCGTCGCATCTGCACTTCTGAACCATAGTACATTGGGCAACATACATGTGTACATGTGAGCTGTATGCAATACGTTGTCCAAGATGAAATCTGTGAGTGCGCGCGCTGACATAGCGTTGCTATGCAAACAAATCGTCGAACTGCACTACCGTCAAGGCGCGGAAACCAGGATCGATTAGGGTCCGGGAGGGACTCGTTGTTCCTTGGGCCTGTGCATGGCAGTCCCTGGTGCCTTATGTTGCTTTTTTTTTTTCCAGCAGCCTGGCTGCGCACGGGGCGCGCAGTGTAGGTGCAACATGTGGCCCCAGGGGTCCCAATATATGGCCCGCGCTGCGTGGGCGCAATCTGTGTAGGTGCACGCGTGCCATGGCGCGGTATGTCGCACAGCCAATGATAATGCCATCGCCTGTTCTTTGCTCCCCCCAGGTGAACCACCCCCTCCTTCCCAGCCGGTCATTCCTTCCGCCGCTATGAAGATCCATTCGAAGAACCCGAGCGGCCGCCCACAATAGCCAACGCGTGGCTACATAATTTCACCTCAGCTTATTCTGCAGGGCCAGATTTTTCTGGCCCCCGCGCCATTTGTCGTTGAGTCGGCCGCAGCATCGCCGCGGCAAATGGGAGGGCATGTTAAATTGGGGCTCGTGCTTGGAAGAAAGATATAAGGCCCCATGAAAGCCCGCGCGGCCCGACGTAGAACAATTAGCGCCAGCCCCGATAAACTTTCGCAAGGCAGGCCATGTTGTGCACGTGTTCGACCTACGCGACCCAGTCCAGCGCAACGAAGTCCAGGTCAATGCAGCCCCGCGCGATGCAACAAGCTCGCTTTAGATCGCAGCCCATCGAAGCCCAGTCCAGTTCGGTTTTGCGTTGTCATCGAGCGGCGCACCAGTCCTGCGAAGCCTTAGCCGGCCCGACCTAGCACAGCTTGGCCCGATACCTTATCAGAGGGAAGTTCGATCAATGTTTGCTTCAAGCGGCCGCGGTCGAATCACGGCGGACGTAATCTCACCGTTCAGGACCTTGTGTTGCGTGAAGTCTGGCGTGTTTTGAGTGTACAGTGGTGTTCGCTCCCGTGCCATTTGTGCTTTTTGCGCCTTGCTTGTGCTCTGGTTTGCCAAGAGGTGTCGTTCGATCATAAGAAGTTGTCTGGGCGTGCTTCAGCCATTATGTCGCCCCTCCTCTTTCTTCCCTTCCCCGGCCCCCATGCGTTGAAGTTCGATTCGCGTGGTTATGCGGCTTCGCGCAGATGTGCCAGAAGACGCCCCGGGGCGGTGAAAAAATGCGCGTTCGCTTGCGTGTCCTCACCTTCGACTTCCTCGACTCTTCCTGTATTTCCGTCGGCGCGGCTCAGGTGTCGCTTCATTATCGGAGGAGACCAAACTCCCTGCGTCGGCCCGCCTTTCTGCCTACTGCAGGCCGATGGGGTCCGAGAGGAGTTCGATCGGCATGGCCCGCCGACGGGGGGGCTCGACGCCCGCTGCGACGCGCGCGCGATTGCCAGGCCAGGGGGAACCACCGCGCACCTCTCGCGTGACATAACGAGTCCGTCGTCGCGGTTTCTGCGCCCGCCCGCCCCGCGCTGATGCGCTACATCAGTTGAAATGCTACGCCAGCACGCGTGCGTAAAACGCGGCGGCGGCGCGTTGGCGGCGTCGAACTATCCATAAGGGGAAAGATTCCAGCGCCGATGGCGCAATGGCGCCGCTGGTGCCGCATGTTCTGTTTGGTCGTTCCGACACGTCTTCAGGACCCAGTGAGGGCGCGACGCACATTGCCAATCAATGGGCGCGCAAGATGTCATTGTCATGCCACAGGCAAACTTTGGAGGAACAGCGGGGGGCGCGACGTTTTTTTTTTTGCGCGGTTGTCTTTCGGTGCCGGGAGCAGCCTAAGTTCAGTCATTTCTTGGGCGGCGGGGGTTGGGTGGGGCACGCGGCGGGCTTGTGAGCGATTGGTGGGGCTGCGGGGGCTAAAGCCAGGCGCGCCTGGCGCCTGAACCCGGGCGCGGAATTCAACATGGCCTGAACCATGCTGCCCGGGATGATGCCCGTGCTGCTTTTATTATCGTCGCCATCGTTTTCTTCCACGTCCTTCTCTTCCTCCTGCGTTTTTTTGCAGACGCCGCTTATTTTCCTGCTGCTTCTCTCGTCGCTCGATCGCATTCGCGCCCGGATTCCCGGCCAGATTTCCTGGCCGAATTTCTCGGCCGGATTTTTGGCCGGATTCCTGGCCAGATTCCAGGCCAGATTTTCTGGCCGGGTTCTTGCGTCGCACAGCGGCCGGATTCCTGGCCGGATTTCATGGCCGATTTTTTTTGGTGCGGTTTTGCCTGAGACTTCATTGAAAGAAAACTCGGCGCAAAAATTCGGCGCAAAATTCGGCCCCCGCGCGCCCAATGCTCCAAGAGAAAAAATTCGGCGCGACGCCCTTGGAGGGGGTGCCCTGGCCGAAAAAAATCGGCCGCTGGCGTGGCGGGCGGTTGCGCGGCCCCCGATGGGCCGAGCGAAATTCGACCGTCACTCCCCGCGGGCCCAGAAAGTCCGTTCGGTCAAATCGCTCAGGGATCAAGAAGTGCAGTCTGTTCGGCAGACGAGTGATCGCGCGCGCGGCAGTTATTTGAAGCAGCATGAAAATCGCATTGCCACTGACTTGTCGGGACCAGCGGCCCATGGCATGGGGCGTGGAGGTCAAGGGCGCGGCTAGGTCAGGCGCGCCAATGATCGAACGCAAGAGGCGAGATCCCGCTGCAAGGGGAGGCCCGCGCGAAATTGGCAGTCATCCTGCGTCGTTTTTTTCAATGAAGTCCCGCTGAGCGTGGTTGGGCTGGACAGGGGGGGATGGCGACGGATAGTGAAGGTGGACAACAACAAAATCTAAACAAATGCCAGTTCGGCTGTACGCATCATGGCGACGCGGAGGGCCCATGAGACAGATGACGACGTCGATGTTCGCGTGAGTGGCCCGCCCTCGACCTCGGGCGCCCGAGCGCTTCCGAAACCCATTGGGCGCCGTCCGACCCCGTGGGCGCTGGGCATCGGGCAGAGGCTCCAGATTCCCCCCATCCTCTCGCCAGTCGCCCCCGTTCCTCCCTGTTCGGTTCGATCGACTGATCGGCGGTCACGTTGCCACCGCACTTTGGCCCCGAGCCCCAGGCGAACTGATCGCCTTGCGACGTCTGCGCGAATATGATCATGAGGTTTCTCGGCGTTTCTCGGGGCGCTGCTTCTTGAAAGAGCGTTTCGGGAACAGAAGCGGCGAGCCTTTTCAGCGCTCACGAGTCGTCGTTATTCGCCTGCGTTCGCGCGTGCGCTGCCGAGGGCGCAGCCTGGGATATTAGCGCATCAACGCCTGGCCAGTCATGAACTCTTCCTCCCCTTCCTCCTTCTTATCGCCCCTCTGCGTTGGTTTATTCTTGCTCTTGCGAAGTAGGTGCTCGGTGGTTTTCGCCCTCCCCCCCCCTCCCCCCCCCCCCGTGATTCTGATGAGTTGAGCATGACATGTGGGCCATTTGCGCGGCCGTCGCACTTTTGCCCGCAGCTGCAGCTGGGGCGTCCCAAAGTAGATTTTCGCGACGCGCTGGTGCCGCTTAGTTCGCGCGCGGGGGATGGGCGCCAAGTCGCGGATGCTCGCCCATGCGACGATTATGCGTGGCGTTTTCGGCGGTCTCAGCTCAAGCGGCAAACTTGCGCGCGCGCGGTCGTTGAAATGCCCCTGCGCTGCCAGGGGCAACGCCCGATGATCGCGAGGGAGGTCGCGCGTGCGGCCTCGCTTTAGCACCCTTTTTTTCCTGGCGCGGGCCCGTTGGTTCGAATTTTGGCACATGCAGGGTTCGTCGATCTTTTCCGGTCATGATTGCTCGGTTTCTTGTATTTTGCGATTGTTTTCAGCGGCGCGCGCTTGCCTGGAATTGGTTCATGAGTTCCTCGATGCGCCGACGGCCGTTTGAATTTCGCGCGTTGCCTTTTTGTGAGATATGCGTGGCGCAGTGCGGAGACCGCAGCACAGGCGATGCTGGTCACGCACGAAAGCCCTTCGCATTCGACGCGTTCCAAAAACATGCGATGTCAAACAATATGTTATCAATATTCGTCATTCGTTTCTGCACCCCGCCTCCTTGGTGACATAATTTCTGGTTTCGGGGAACTCTTAGCAACCACCTGTACACATGCAACTTATGCGATGCAAAGCGGAAGCACCCGCAGCATACGATCAGCACAAATTACCCCAGTGGCGGTGTTGCTGCGTATCACCTCTGTTTTTTCGGTGGTGCTTCCGTGGGGTAGCCTGGTTGCCCATTTTGAGGACATGCGAGTTCTTTGTACCATCGCCCTCTGCCTCTGCGCCTCAAGGTCCTTGATTTCTCTCCGCTGGAGTGGAGAAAGCCAGTGGCGGCTCGCGCCGCCTTCGCGTGCCTACGCAATGTATGTATGCTGCGCCAGTGGAGTTCTTTAGTGCTGCAGGGGTAGCGGCTCCGTCTTCGACCCAGGATGGTACGGCGTATAGGTCTTCGGGAGACCCTTCTGGGTTGCATGTTACCCTCATCAAAAAACGCCGACCGACACATTGGCAACTTTGTGAATATGTTGAGGGTGCACAAACTTTAATTCTAATTGATAAGCTGCCGACGCGAGAATATGACAACATGCTCGCGAACCGACTTGAGAACCACAGCCCGATATGCATGTGCACAACGTGGTCCGAATAAGCCAGCAAGGCAATACAACACATGGCTGTGCATATACAACATGTTATCAAAAGTGCAACGAACCTGATGAACCAGTGCAACCGTCATGACATGTAGCGGTCCCCGACGCTAGCTGACATGCTTAACCATGCAACGCGATATTCACGACCTGGATTGAAGCGCGAATTGTATCATACAAGTTGGACACATCTGCCGACCATGCTATACGTATGGTAACTTTCGCGAGCCTAGTCTGCACTAAACGAAAACATGTCTTGGCATGGCACAGCCATGCGATAGTTCGTTTATACACACATATATATACACATGTATACCCAATGCGTATACATGAACACATTTCATTCTGGATCAGCATATAGTAAGGTAGACGCTTGATCTTGCTTAGTAGATCAGGCATTATTGAGTTACCATGCTTAAGCGGTTACGATTGTTTAGCTAACGGTGTTAGTTCGCCAACGTTTGCTTTACACAGCAGCCGAAGTATCTTAAAGTTTGTAGCGGCATAACAGGTCACATTTCGTTCTGACAGTCTACATCTCGCTATATCAGTTCATGACAGTGTTGCTTGCGGCAAGTCCCGCCACCGTGCCAGCCCAGCATGCCCGGCGGCTCTCTTTCGAGGGGACACTGGAGGAGCGCAATGGATGTTTTTTGGAATCTCGTGGGAGGCCTCTCGAGGGCCTCTTTGAGGCAATTTTCCGACGTTTGGGGAACCGTTTTGGGCCCTCTTGGGGGCCCTTTGGGGGCCTCTTGGAGCCTTGGGCGGCCTCTTGGGGGCCTCTTGGGCGCTTCTCGGGGCCTCCTAGAGCCTTCTTGGGGCCCCTTGGGGCGGAAGGCTCGGATTTCTCTGGGCTTCTTTTGAGGCCGTTTTTGGGCGCCTCTTGGGCCGTCGTGGGGCGCTCTTAGGCCGTCTTGGGGCCCTCTTGGTGGCCTTTTGAGTCGTTCTGAGGTGGTCTTGGAGGCCTCTTGGGCTTTCTTGTAGCGTCGGAAAGCCGAAACGGCGAGAGCGCCAAAACCCGTCAAAAACGCACGGAAAATTAACGAGGCCATCTTGGGCGTCTTCAAGCTTTTGTTCGGCGACCCATGCCACTCTTGGACCGTCTTGGAGTCTCCTGGGTCGTCATGGAAGCCAGAAAGAGCCCTGGGGAGGCGCCATGGCCGCTCCGGTACCCTTCGGGAGCAAGGGCGATGCACGCAGCATTACACGACCCGGATGGGTGGGGCCTTTAGAAGATTACAGAAACCCTACCAGACAGCCTTTGGTTGCAAGGTGGCACGGTGGCGGAGTGATTTACAATTGTTGGCAAACAAGTTGATTCATTGGCTGACGCCGCACCGCCGACCCCTTGGGGCGGCAGTGAGATTGAAAAACGGAGTTTGCGGAACGATTTCTGGGGAATCTTGGGGTTGCAGCTTCTTGGGATTTCGTCGGGGGCGGTTGGCGGATCACCGCTCTGCTTTGGGGGTCTCTGGGCTCTCCTGGCAGCACTTTTGAGGCCTCTTGGGACCGTTTTGAGGCCTCTTCTGGGCCTCTCGGGGGCCTCGTGGGAGCCTCTTGGGGGCCTATTGGCGCCTCCTCCGGTTTTTTCGAAGCCGAGTGTTCGAAAAATGTTCATTCGGGTTCCCCCTCTGGGCCTCCTCTTGGGGCCGTACTGGGGCCCTCCTGAGTCGTTTTGGAAGCTTCTGGGGCCGTCTTGGGGCCCTCTTGGACCGTCTTGGAGCCCTCTTGGGGGCCTCTTGGGCTATCTTGGGTCGATCTTAAAGGCTTCTTGGGCCGTTGTGGGCCTCCCGAAAGCCCAAAAAGGCGAATGTGCTAAACATGTACGTGTTCCTTAGGGAATGGGACGATTTTTGCTTCTGGAGGGCCGCTTGGTGGCTTCTTGGGGCGTCTTGGGGGCCTCTGCGATCGTTTCGAGGCGATCTTGGGCGTCTTGGAGCGACATCGTCCAGGGGGCCTGTTGTGGCCCTCTTGGCCCGTTTTGGGGCCCTTGAGGCTCCAAGGGTGCGGCCGACACTTTTGCCCCCCCCCCTCCAAACCGGCCGGACCGGACTCCCGGGGGAGGGGTTTGGGGAGGGGGAAGCATCTCACACGCCGTAACCACAAGGGGTCGGCGGATTAAGTTAAAACGCTTGTTCAGGTAAGTAAGGGGAATTCGTCATAATGTGTGGGGGCGCCCACCCCGTTGGCCTTGTCCTCCTGGGTCGGCGGTTTGTGCGTGACGTTCCATGTTATCTTTTTGTTTGGCCTCCTATGGCCTCCTATGGCTTGTCTTTTATGGCTTTCCTCGGGCTTACCGCCCTATCGGTCCTGTGCCCTGGGTTCAGTCCGTGGCTGCTTGGCCTCTGTGGCTTCCTATACTAAGCTTCCCATTGCGTCTCCGGGGCTTGCATATGGCTCTGCGCTTTACTCGGCCTGGTATTCGGGCTGAGGCCGTTTGTGTGTTGGCCTGTTCTGTCTGCCGCGCACATGCAGTCCCGCAGCAGTTCCACGAACGTATTGGTTGGGGTCCACGTGCTTATCATCATGTCTACAGCAGGGATTTGCTTGTAACCATGCGAATCAAAGTTTCAAGCGACCACCCCTTGCCACAGAACAGCGCATGATCAGTCAATCAGTCGCCCACCTACCCCAGCCATCGAGCCGATCAAACAGTCAGTCAGTTGGCCAGCCAGTTAATTAGCTTGGTAAGCAACAGTACTGGGCCACACAAAAAATCTACGTAATGTACAAACAGTCGTACGACGAATGATTCAGTCGTTCGGTTAACTTGGTCATTTAATCAGCCACGAGCACGGTCGATCCGCAAATCAGCCAGGCAGTCGGACGCAGTCGGGCATGTCTGAGTAAGCCGATCACACGGTAGAGGCGATGCCCTTTGCCAGCCTCATACATATCGTTCATCCCAGGCAACAGGAGAGGCTATTTTGTTTAGCATCACGCCAACCCTTTTTTCAAACGTTTCATCGATGGGATGTGCCTGGTGCTTGTGCGATGCCCGAACGACCGAATTGTCTCTCTTATCGCTTGGGGCATGGGGCATTGCGGCAGGCTGGGATGCTTGTTTGACGCAGCACAGAGACCGCGCGCCGCGAGGGCCTTCCGCCAGCTACCAGCACGGCGGACGACCCAGCGGGGAAGCGGATGGGGACGGTGCGATTTGGCCGACCCTTCACCATGCCATCGCCCTCGCGCACCTCCTCTTTCCCGTCCCTCTCCTCCCCCCTTCCTACCATTACCCCCCTTTGTCTCTGCCCCTCCCCCTTCCCAGCCTGCTCTCCCTCCCCCTCCAGTCGCCCGTTTCCCTCCATCTCACCCATCTCGTTTCCCGTATCCTTCCTCTCCCAACACTGGAGTACCACAACAATTAGCATAGTTGGCAGACACACGTGAGCTGAATAGTTGTTTTTCGGTTGCGGCCGCGCTACTACCAGCAACGCAGCCAAACAAAAAAACGAGTGATCACGGTGCCGAACGCCATGATCATGCTAGGCGTGACCATGACATTGCCCGCTATTGTTTTGGGAGTTGAGGGCCTGTGCATTCGAGCCAAACGTCTACATATAATGGGGGACCGGGCCCGGGGGCGGGGAGCCGGCGCCACGACCACAAATGTGGGGCCCGGGCGTCGTCTTCCTTCTGTTCATACGGGGGTTCGGCGACCCGGGGCCGACACGGTCCCAAGAAGCTGCAGGGAGGACCCAGGAGGCCGCAGCGATGGCTCCAGACGCTTTTCAAGACGACTCCCATGACGCCAAGAAGGCCCCCGAAGGCCCCGAAGACTATGGGAAAACTTATTTTTTGGCGTGTTCGCCTTTTGGGCGTCCACTGCGTCCAAGACGGCCCAAGAGGCACCCAAGCAGGTCGAGGATGCCCCCAAGAGAGCCCCAAGACGGCCTCTGAGGGGGCCAAGACGGTCCACGAGGCGCCCAAACCGCCCAAGAACGCCCCAAGGCGGCGCCCAAGACGGGGACGAGGAACCGGAAATTCAAGCCTTTTGGCCCAAGGGACCCCCAGGAGACCCCAAGAGGCTCCAAGAAGGGCCCAGAAGCCCCAAGAGGCCCCCTATGAGACCCGAAAGAACACCAAAAGAGGCTCCGAAGACGCCCCAAGAGGCACCCCGAGAGTGGCCCAATATGCAAACATCGCCGATTGCCTATAGGAAAACTAATGTTGTCGCGTGTTCGCCCTTGGGGCGTCCACTGCGTCCAAGACGGCCCAAGAGGCACCCAAGCAGGTCGAGGATGCCCCCAAGAGGGCCCCAAGACGGCCAACGAGGCGCCCAAAACGCACAAGAACGCCCCAAGGCGGCGCCCAAGACGGGGACGAGGAACCGGAAATTCAAGCCTTTTGGCCCAAGAGACCTCCAGGAGACCCCAAGAGGCTCCAAGAAGGGGCCCTGAAGCCCCAAGAGGCCCCCTATGAGACCCGAAAGAACACCAAAAGAGGCTCCGAAGACGCCCCAATAGGCACCCCAATAGAGGCCCAAATAAGCAAACATCGTCGATTTCCTACGGGGGAACTTTTTTTGTTTGGCGTGTTCGCCTTTTGGGCTTCAGTAGGCACCCAAAACGGTCGAGGATACCCCCAAGAGGGCTCCAAGACGGCCCACGAGGAGGCCAAGACGGCCCACGGGCCGCCTAAACCGCTCAACGACGCCCTCAGTCGGCACCCAAGACGGGGACGAGGAACCGAAAATGAGAGCCATGTGGCCCGAGAGGCCCCCAGGATCCCCCAAGAGGCTCCACGAAGCGCCCAAGAAGCTCCAAGAGGCCCCCACGAGACCCGCAAAAACACCAAAAGAGTCCCCGAACACGCCCCAAGGGGCACTCCAATAGAGCTCCAATAAGCAAACATCGTCGGTTTCCGATGGGGAAACTTATTTTTTGGCGTGTTAGCCTTTTGGGCGTCCACTGCGTCCAAGACGGCCCAAGAGGCACCCAAGCCGGTGCAGGATGCCCCGACGAGGGCTCCAAGACGGCCCACGAGGGGGCCAAGACGGCCCCCGAGGCGCCCAAACCGCCCAAGAACGCCCCGAGTCGGCGCCCAAGACGGGGACGAGGAATCGAATATTCGAGCGTTTTGGCCCAAGACCCAAAAGGCCCCCAGGAGACCCCAAGAGGCTCCAAGAAGCGCCCAAGAAGCCCCAAGAGGCCCCGAAGAGACCAGAAAAAACATTTGAAGAGGCTCCGAAACAGCCACCCAAAAGGCCCCCCAAAACGCCCAAGGACAGCCCAAAACGACCCCAAGAAACCCCCAGAATTTAAAAGAACGGCCCAGGACGCCCCCAGGCAGCCCAAGATAGCCTTCGGACGGCGTTCAAGGCTCCCAGGGAACCTCCAACAGACTTCAAGAGAGTTCCAAGAGGCTCCCCGAGAGCGCCCGGAGAACCTTAAATCGTTCATTGTCGTATCTGGGGTATAAAATTTTGGCTTCTCACCATTTCATGCTTCCAGCGCTCCAAGACGGCCGAAGAGGCCTCCAATACCGCCCCAAAGCTGCCGAAGAGGCGCGTAAGACGGCCCCAATACGGGCCCAGAAGGCCCCAAGACTGCCGAAGAGGCGCCCAGGACAGCCCCAGACCACCCCATAACAGGCACAATATGGGCCCAAGAGCGGGAGCAGGAGGCCTCCTGAGACTTCCGAGAGGCCTCCAGGACCTTCAGAGGCCCCCAACACACCCCAGACCCTTGAGAGGCCTCCAAAAAGCCCGTCAAGGCCTCCAGAACACCCCAAGAGAGCTTCGAGAGCTGTCACGAGAGTGTTCGCAGAGTGTAACATCGTTGAGTTTCGTTGTTTTTTTCAATGTTTGTCGCCTTCTCACGCTTTCCCGCTTCCAACGCTCAAAGACCGAGAACCGGCTTAAATATGGAATTCGAGATATTCATTTGTTCTCTCAAGTTGGGGTTCTTATTCCCAATCATCCTCTTTCTCGACGTTCCCTTGTCCATCCGACATCCTAGCCATCTTCATTCACTCGAAGTCGGGGAGAGGCCGCCGCCCCGAAAACATCAACATCGTTGGTTTTTAATCTTTGATTGTAATATTTCCCCCTTCGCTGAGGCCCGCTTGTTTGTATCCATTCGCTCAAGTTTTGGGGGCCGATGCGGTGGCAGCGCCTCGAGGAGTTGGCTGCCAACGGTCTGCTGGCCTACCTAGGCCGGTGCCCCACTTGCCCAGCAGCGCCCGCTTTCCCGGCGCTGCCATCGCTCACGCGCGGGGCCTGTCCGCCCTGCCCTGCCTGCCCGTCTTGCATCTGTGGAGGGCAGACGGTGCCGGGAGAGTGCCCGGCGGCACCGCAGCTCGACTGCCCCTGGAGCTACTGGCTGGCCCTGGGCATCTTCATCGGCGTGCTCGCGGGTTGGACCACGGTCTACTTGTTTGGTTTGGCGCGCGGACTGGCCGCGCGAGCCTTGAGTGCAGTTTCTGGATCCTCGTTGTCGGCGCCCGCTACGCCGAACAGTCTCCGCGATGGACACGTTGGACATCCCCGAACCCCAAGTTCTGGTGTGCTATCCCGATGACGCTGGCGGCATGATATGGCATCGTCGCATCCTGGCCAAGAAGGTGACTGCCGGCGCGCGGATAGCCATCACTCCTGATCTCGAGTTCGTCCGACACAATCTTTTACGGCAGCGGCGCACCGCGTTGGATCGGAATGCGATGTCCCCAGCCGCCGGTCGAGCTCAGACCGATGGATTCGACCCCGCGCCACGCGCAGAGATCTTCGCCCTCGAGAGACGGGCGGCTGTTCAGGCTGCCGTTTTGGGCGACGACGATCAGGACATGGAGATGGAGAGTATCGCGCGGGTGGTTTCTGAGACGGCGCACCTTCGGTTCGCTCAGATCCCGACCGATCCCGAGATCCAACGGGCGACCCTGGGACAGACGAGAAGGGGTCGCCTTGCTCAGCGGCATAGAGGTTTTCGTGGAGAAGGTTGAGACGAACCAACTTCAGAGCTGGAAGGCGCCCCGACAGACGGGAGCAGGTGACCTTCGGATCTTGGGGGATCATCCCGACGCCCCTGGGCGTCGGCACCTCGCACTCTCAGAGGCAGTCTCCTTGATGCGCGAGACCACCTTCGACGACTGGGTCATGCCAGGACCGCGAGTGGCTAAAGAGTGGCTCGTCTCTGTCAGAGATGGCCCTGGCGATCTGACTTCTTATCGTGGACAGTGGGCCCGCCGTTCAGGTGTGAGCGAGTCTTCGGCTGTGGCCCACATTCACTATGTCCTTTGTGAGGTGGTGCGGTTGGCGATGCAGACTGTTCAGTTGGATGTCGCGAACCTGCTGAGTTTCGAATTCGCCATGCGGAGGATCTGCCGAGACGAGACGGCGGTCGCCCGGAACCCTCGACACCCAGGCTACGGCGGCCTAGAGATCGCGCTGCGTGCCCCGACCACCGAGCAGGGCCCGGCCAGCGCGAACAAGTTCACAGAGTGGGCGACGGGCCGCCTGAAAGAACATGCCGCGATCTACAAGCATACTCGGCTGTGGAACGAGGAACAGCGCGCCCTGCAGGCAGCGCGTGGCTCGGGAGACCACAGGAAGGGCAAGGGCCGCGGCTCGCGGCGGGGCAAGGGCGGCAAGGGCGACGAGGAGGACCACGACAAGCAGGCCTCGGGGTGACCGAGGCTCTCCGGGCTGAGTGTGATCCCCAAGCTCAGCCCCCAGCCACCACTCACGATCGGGGACAACCTACCCGGTGGATGCTCTCAAGACAGAGGCATGGGGACCCCTTCCCCTTGCCGCATCCATCTGCTGCTCAGCTTGAGAAGCCGGGCACCAGTTCCGAGCGGCGACAGCGAGCAGTTTCGGCGCGGGCTTCGCTCAACCACCTCGCTGCTGCTCAACCGAATCCGGAATCGTTTCATCAGGCATGCCGGTCAGCTCGGGCCCCGACGGCAGTCCAGGAATGGATCTTGGACAGCATCGTGGAGCGCGTCGATGCAGCGGGCCCCCCCGCCGGGCCTCTCGGCCGAGGGCGCCGCGCGCGTGCTGCTGGCGCCCAAGGGCTTGTATAGCCAGGAGCCGAAGACCCCTCGCGCCGTTCGACCTGACAAAGCTCAAGGTTACAAAAAAACGTGCGCGGCCGCGCTCTGTGGCCGACTTCTCACCGCCTCTTGCCGCGGAGATGGTCCGCAATCCAGCGCAGAATATAGAGAAGGATGAGGGAGAGATGGAGTTCGCGCGCCAGTCGGCGGACCCCTTCAGACCTTATTGGGATCCATTGCTTCGTTCAAGCCGTTTGGAACGATGGCGCCTGCTCAGGATGCTGTGCGAACTTGGCATTATCACGTTCAGGCGTCGGCTTCGCGCTCGAGCGGCCTTGTTTTCCTTGTGCAGAGGAAAAAGCCAGGCGAGATCATAATGATCGTTGACGCAAGGCAGGCCAACGCTCGCCATCGGGCACTCGGGCACTCCCGTCCACGCGGCTCGGGTCAGCCGGCGCCTTTGCGGACCTCGACCTCTCCGCGGGGAGCGGAGCCCTCGGCGGCGCTGGCAGCGTTGTCGGGTGGGGCCCCCGCGGGGACGAGGCGGACGTCGAGGACTGCTTCTACAACTTCGCGATGGGTGGGCTGGCAGAATGGCTTGGTTTCGACGACCCGCTGCCTGTCACGACGATCAGAGACACTTATGGCATCAATGTCGGCGCCTTCTGGGACCCAGATCTGAATGCGATGGTGCCTGCCGAGGATGACGTTGTGCTCTATCCGTGCATGCGTGCCACGTGCATGGGGCGGTCGTGGGCCTTGTATTTTGCGCAGGAGGCTGCGTCGGCGATGGCCGCGCGAGCCCTCCAGCCGCTCTCAGCTTCGGAACCTGCCGCGGTGAAGGAGCGCCACCCTGCACCTGATCTCAGCGAGTCCGAGGTGATGGGCAGCGTCTACGTTGACTATATCACGATCCTCGGCAAGACCGCACCTCCTGGCTCGAGAGGCGAGTTCCGCCCTTCGATGGGAAGCCGAGCGGCGCGGACCCCCCCTGGCGTGGACCTGCCCGGATGTCGCGACCCATCTGGAGACGGTGGGGATTGAGTTTGAGTTCAGGAAGGGACGCCTCCGCAACAAGGCTTCCCGCGTCTGGAGATTTGATCTAGCCACTCGGGCCCTCCTGGCTCGCAGCAAGATGCGTGGCGAGCATGTGGAGGTCTGGCTCGGCCATGCGGTCTCCTTGCTGATGCTTCCCCCATGTCCGGCTACGCCGCGCTTTCCGCCACCTACCGCTTTGCAGAGACGGCCTGGGGCGTGCGGACCACCCCACCTCGGGGGGGCGAACAGGGGAGATGCGCGTCGCGGCCGGCCTCGTCTGGTTGGCGGAGGTCGACCTGGCAGCGCCTTCGCGCTCCACGTGTGCGACAGCGACTCCGCCGACCAGGGGCGCGGGCTCATGTGCAAGAGGGCCTCCGTCGACGAGTTGCGCTCAGCCTTCCGCTGGAGGGGGAAGTGGAGTTTCAGGCAGCATCTCAGGGGGCCGCGCGCCGGCCTGGCCCCCCCGTCGGACGTCGCCGACATGGGGGGGGGGCAGGCCCGCAGAGGATCAGCTCCAGGGCGACGAGGTCGAGCCCCGCTGTCGGGCATCCTCGCCTTTCAGCGGCGCCAGTCCCGCGACCGCTCTCGGCCAGTGGTCGCAGAGCAAGGCGGAAGAGGGCTCGCCTTCAGACGGCGTTCGTTGCCCTCGGCCCCGTCGCGGACGCCGCGCTGATCGCCGACGCGCCGCCGACGAGGATGCCCCGCTGCACATGGGGCCCCTGGCGCCGCCGTTGCCGGCCCCGCGGTTCGAGATCGCGGGTTTCAGGCTGGTGGCAGCGAAGCGGTGGCGCCGGCCAGGTGAGCATATCAACGCGACAGAGATTCGGGCAGCAGTGATGGGGCTCCGGCACGCTTGCCGCGTCCGTCACATTTGCGGTCGCCGCCTTGTTTCTATCGTGGACTCCATGGTTTGCGTTGGCTGCCTCGACAAAGGGTGGTCTAGCCGCTCAGCAGCCCTGAGCGCGCAGTGCCGGCGCGCGGCGGCCTGCGCTATCGGCTGTAGAGTGCGTTGGCGGCTGCGGCATGTCAACGCGAAGTTTAATGTGGCCGACGCTCCATCCCGTCGGTTCGAACAGTCCCCCTTCGACAAAGGTTGCTTCAAACGGGCCCCGAAAGACGCCCCAGCGCCTTCGCTCTCCCACTCTCTCTTGGGCGCTGTAGTGGGGATGGACTCTCTGCCACCTGGGCTCGGCCTCGCAGGGCATCCGCCCGCCGACGTCGAGAGTGACATGCATCCAGACGCGCGGCCTTTCGAGTCTTACGTTGATTCATCTCGCCGGTCATCCTGTCCATCACCTACATCGACGCCTTCGGTGACCAGTCGAGCCGCCGCCCCCCCTCTTCGTCTTGGGCATGCTCAACTTCTGAGGCGAGCCCAGCAGGGACAGGGCTTCTTGGAGTTATTATCTGGCGAAGGTGGGCTCTGAAAGACTTTCGAGGAGCTCAACTTGAGGACCTTCCCCTGCACGGGCATAAAGGATGGAGCACACAACGACCGCCTAGATCCGATGATCCAGAACGTCATCTTGCAGAGTATTCGGAAGCGGCGGTTCTGGCACGCACACGCGGGCACCCCTTGCTGCGTTTGGTCCAGGGCTCGGCGCAATATTGCCGATCATGAAAAAAGCCAGACGTAAAGAACGTATCGGTGTCACTCTAGCTTTGCTCAGTTGCCGCGTGGCCTACGAGTGTTCAAGAAACGGGGTCTTCTGGAGCATCGGGAACCCAAGATCTTCAAGGTTGTGGGACTTCGACCCCATGAGGGAGCTCAGTGGCCTCCCCGACGATTCGCGTTTTCTTTGTGCATTGCAGCTGCGGGGCCCTACATCAAAAGCCGACAGCGTTTCCTCGCGAATCTCTTCGCCCTGTCGTCGCTGGCATCCGCCTGTTCGAGGGGCCACTTGCACGTAGAGCTCAGAGGCTTTGAGACGGTGACGTTGCCATCCGGGGCTCGGGCGTCACGCAATCGCAGCGCAGGTGCGGGGGCCTACCCCCGCAATCTCTGTGCGGCATGGGCACGGGCTGCAGCCGCGACTGCGCCCGCCGGTGCCCGGGCCCCGCCTGGCGCTCCTGAAGGTCTCGACCTTGAGGCTCGGCTTCGCGATGCTACTCGACGGCTGGCTTCGCGTGCCCGCGAGCGTCTCAGACCGTCTCGGCAGCGGCTCCAAGCGGAGCCTGACCTCGGGCTTGTTGCAGCCGCCGACCCAGACGCCCTCGAAAGCAGGCACGATCACTTGCGGCCGTTCATCGTCTCTGGCCAAGATTCCAATCTCGAGGCAGCCCCGAAGCAAGCGGCCCGCATCAAGAGAGGCCCGAAAGGTCGCTGGCCGCCGCTTCCGCGTCTGTAACTTCGTGAAGGCCATCGGTC